CTTATTTGATCTCGCTAATAAAGCTGAGGGGCTCTAAGCGAAGGCCGACGGGGATTGTGGGTAGGGGATTTTGATTAGATCATTTGCAGTCGAGCTGCAGGAGCAATTAAGAGGCTCTGCTACGAGTGACTTCATTAAAGAGAGAGAGAGGAAAGATGGCTGCAGCTAATGAAAGAACGGACAGGTTTGATTTCACTATGAACCAACTCTCACTCGGGATGGTTGATCTCCAGCAGACGTGTGCACATTCTCGCTGTGTTTTTATACATGCATCACGATGAGCTCTGCACGTCCTCACCTTCTCTCTAATGCTGCAGGTGTCTACAAACGAAGCGGCTTTGGTGTGATGCTGTAAATCACAGCGCTCAAGAACATGTGATCGTTTGACCCCACACAGAAAACGTCTTCCTGGAGTTTCTCTGTCTGATGTTCAGCAGGACTGGTTGACGATCCAGTACTCTGATATGGAAATGTTCCTATGCATTTTTAATGAGAACGACAGTGGTTGCTTTTCCACGTTCACCAAGACTCTTTAATGCACTGTAATTATCCAGAAGTAACATTCAACCTCTAAAATGACTCATAAATATGCTTAACTCATGTTTAAAACACATGGTAACCAGAGCTTGCTTGACATTCTAACCTCCAAAACTATGTTTTAAAGCCTTAAGGGTGTTAAATCTGATTTTAAAGGCGTTCTCTCTAACCTCTAATCTTTAACCTTTGACCTTCCAGATTGTAACCTGTTGAATTTGTTTGTTCTTCAAAGGGAGCTTTGATAGTGAACGGCTGGCTATTGCTAGGCAAAGAATCCCGTACCGACTCGGTCGGGTAGTTGACGAGTGGCTACTCGACAAAGGTAATTAAACAGCACCAAACCCCACTAACGAACGGTCTGTCTAATCACGCTAAACACATCTCTGGACGAAGTGCAGGCCCATGGACGCAGCTTTTTACATGCGAAAAGCAAACTGGGATTTAAAAGGAGGAGAAAACAACATTACCAGTGTCTTACTACTCTTAATTCATAGTTTGCACCTAAAGAAGTGCTCATTGTGAAATATGTAGACGAATCAGTTGTGAAGGGCAAACGAACGCTGCGATCCTCAGATCTGTGGATTCGTTCTGTCATCTGACGATGGGACTGCACTTCTCCAGAGTATTAACCTTACCAATAACCCCCACATAACCCTGTCTTAACCTCCCAACAACACGCACAGCTGTTTACTGTTGTGAAACGTCCTATCGAGCAGAAACTGATTCACAAACATCTAAACTGCACAGTTAAAGGGACTCTATTTCAGTGCCTCTGTTTCATCTTTGCTCTCGTCGTTCTGTCTAAATTGATTCCAACTTTAACCCTTTGAGTCCAGGGGGTCCTAACTAGCTGTTTCATTCGAGTTTCCTGGTAATTCACTTCCTGTTTCTGAGGACACACCCACCCTGAGGGCAAAACTTACAGCACAGACGGGCGTTAGAAGTCTCATGTAGTTCTAGCTTCGACTAGCCAACATGTCATGGATGTTTTTTGAATGTTAATGCAAGAATCAGCTTGCAACATAAAAAAGTACAACATGTGGGCAATTTTATACTATTTAAAAATGTCAGCCTGTTGAGGAAACTGACGACGTGTGTCTTATTCACTGCTAAAAGTATTTTTGTCTTGTCTTCCGGGACACAAATATCGAAGCATTTTTAAATCAAGACTACTTGAGATGCAAAATGACAGAAGTCTTGTTTTCTGAGAAACTGTTAAAAATTAACAAATATCTGCCAACTGAGTTAGAAAAGAAACTTTATATAAATGAATCTTTGACTCCATTGCCAGCCGTTTGTTTTTAATTTTGATAAATTTCTCAGAAAAGAAGACTTCTTATCGTCTGCCATCTCCAGTAAACGTATCTTGATTCAAGAATGCTTTAGATGTTTGTACTGAAAAACAAGACAGAAATACTGAGCAAGAACTTCACTTTTTGCAGTGTGAGCAAATGTTTCACGAGTAAAATATAAAAGACGTTTATATAGATGTATAATAAAAAAATTTTTGATCAACATACATTCGTTTGATCAACATTTTTTTTCAAACATACATTTTGTAAAGCAAAGTTCCAGGTTCAATACAAGATCTGAAAATGAGCACAGAGAGTAATTTGACTGAACTCTCAGTCTGTTGAAGTGTTGAGTTGTAGGATGCTGTCAGTATATTTTAACATTATCTCAATCTGTACCATTATCTCACCCCAGTATGTGAGTATATCAGAGTAGTGGACGGTCTGTCAACTCAAAGGGTTAAAGGAGTTAACCAACAGGGAAATGTAAAGGTTAAGCAGAATTTAACCAAGCGTTCTTCTAAACTCTGAGGGCTTCCGCTCTTCTTCTCTTCAGCCGCTAGCATTTAGTTTTCATTGGATTGAAGCCCTCAGTCATAAACCTGTTTCTAAACTCACATAACCGAATGAGCGCAGATCAGATGAAGAATACGGATTATTAGTCAAAGCAGAACCATCTAAACAGAACGCCAAACTAACCCGCACGTAACGCTTGAATGAAATTCAGAGGGTTAAACACTGAACGATTTTTGTGCCTGAATCCGATTCATTGACTAAACGCTCTGCTCGTTCTTCTGTAGCGTTTGGGGAGGGAATACAGTCCCTTTAACGTCTACATGTCTGATGATGTGTTGATTTACTGTGTGAACCGTCATGTGTTTGTCTGTGAATGCAGTTTGGACTATTGAGCGTTCAGTTTGGGTGTAGGGTTTTCAAAAGTCAACATGAACTCAAACTCAGTCATTAATTCCTGCTCTTATTGAGAATGAATCATCAGTGATGTTAGTCTAAAGAAATAAATGTATCCCGATTATCATGTAGGAGAATGTTAAGGCAAGACGCCACAGATAAAACCATTGTTTTTTTGTTTAGTTTTTTTCATTTCACTTTTGAGATTTTAGGCTATTTTCCTTATTTAACTTGAATTCTTTCAGACTAGTGGAAAGAAAACACCCAAATTACACATCTAAGTGCTTATTTCATTAGACTTTATCTATTTGCGTCTGTAGATTTCTGTTACAGTACTAAACTTTATAAGTTTTTCCTCCACTTCAGCAGCACTTACATACACCAAAACTTAGAGTTGTATTCCTCTCTATATCCTGAAGGTTTTTACTGAGGGGTTTGTTGATATATCATTCACATTCGTTTTTATGACATTTTATTCCTAAAAACATGGTGAAAATGTGTTTGTTTTCTGTCGGTTGTCAGTATTTTCTGATTTATGGAGTGATAAAAAGAGAAATCCAGAATCCCCTCTATAAAAACCTCCAACTCTAATATGTCAACAAAACCAAACAAAATTTATGAGCCTGGCTTTAGATTTATGTTCTGGACATTTCTGCAAATTAGGGCATATTTAACGCATTTCAGACATAACAATTTAGAAAACTTGCAATGGAAAGCAGTTATTTTAAAATACTGTGATTAATTAACTGGGGGAAGTATGGTGAAAGCTGTTTTACCCTATTCACATGCTTTAAAAACTAAAAATAAATAAAGTCCTGAAAAAGTATGTCACGTAATGGGAGTGAAATGAGTTGTGAATGAGTTTCATGTTGACTAGAGGCGGTGATGAGGATAGTCCAGACTGCACCGGGTCCGTCACAGCACTCCAGGATTCATGTGGAAAAGGCCAGTGAATGTGTGAGAACGACTCTCTCTCCCTCATCTGACGTTGAGTTAGATCAGACAGAACATTCTCGAGCGGCGATGGTGTCAGTGTTATAAATTCAGGATGGCAGCACCTCCACAGCTCAATGAAGAGGAAAAAAAGGGTTTAACAGCTCAATTCCAGCAGAAGCCGTTCAGAGTCTCGGTTTTTCTCCCTCGTCCTCTCGCTGGCGTTCATCACGCTCTAAACATCCCCTATGACTTTCCATCATTTCCTCTTCTCCTGTATCCGACGCTCCTCCATCTCCCGTTTTTTTTATTGTAGAGCCGACGCCGCTGCGAGAGACACAGTCAGAGATTACAAATAACCGCAGCGTATTGATTTCTTCTGTGTTGTTTATTTCGGTTCCTGAAGAAAGTCCTCACCGGGGAGACGCGAGCGCAGAACACATTTGTTTTACAGCAGAAACGCGCCCGGGCGCCGCTACTAAATCACTGCGTTTGGCTCTGTTTGAACACTTTCTCACTTTTAAATGACTCCAGAGAGAAGGAACACAGGCTTTTCTATTAGAGAGCGCAAAAGCCTCTAGAAAAGCTTGTTGGTTTCCACACAGACTCCTGCAGAAACACGTGAGATTCTCTCCGGACGGTGTGATTCAACCAGATGGATGAAAATAATCACATGCATTTAGACACCAAAATTATGGTGGCTGAAAAATAATAATAATAATAATAATAATAATAATTTCTGGTTTTGGCCAAAATAATTGATCGTTTTGACAAACTGAGTTCTTTTAGTTGATTCGTGAACAGAACTTCACTAAACATTATTTGAAGTGCGCCAAAAGTCTTTATGATTTGTTACTTTTAATATTAAACAAAGGCTCAGCTTATAAATGCTGTCAATTGTCACTGATCATCTCTTCCTCTTTACTACTAGTTATAGCAGCAAATAACATGAACGTACATCAGAAGAATCAGAAGAAATAACTTAAATCAATCATCAATCATGTAATCAATCAATCAGTGATTCAGCTGCAGAAAGACATCAATAAAACAGCGAGAGATCAATAATGTCACGTAACATCACATTTACCTCCGGAAAGACATTCAGTGAACAAACTTGAAAAAAGTCAGCTAGAAAAAATAACTCTAGAGCCGTGGCGAGGCTACACCCTCTTTCAGCTGTAATTTTCCAAATGGATGTAATTTATTAAACAATAATAATAATGAAAAGTCTTATTTCACTATAACTTTAAATATTAAATGTGAGTTTTCATGGTCAATTACAGGCAGTTTCTTCATCTTCCCTAATCCTGTAGGTGCATATCATACGCTTGTCAAAATGATGATTAGTCTTTCTGTTAGTTATGTTAAAGACGTAAGGACATAATAGTAAAATACGCGCGTTTGTGGAGTTGAAACTTCTGAGCCAAGCGCGTTTTAATCATGCGAATTTAATTAGCGAATGTTTGATTCGCTAAACAGATGCGTTCTTTGAGGAAAGAAACACGCAACCTTAGTGCTAGATCCTCTTCTCCTCCACAAACTGCTCTCATTTCTGTGCTCCTCGATCTTTACTCTCCTTTGAACGCGAACTGAGATCATCTGCTGTAATGCTTTACGATAAACTTTCTTTAGATAACATTAACAATGAGCAATATGCATTTGTTACAATATTGATTATATTTGTTAACGTTAGGTAATAAAAATACAGCTGTTCGTTGGTATTTTTGTTAGTTCAGGTACGAATGTTAACAGATGCAACTTTTAATTTTAACAATGTATTAGTAAATATTGAAATTAAAATGAATGTTAATCAATGCTTTCGAAGCAGTATTGTATATTAACCCTTTGTGCTGTATTCACTACACTTTGCCCACCCACTGAAATATTTCCGGCCTCGCCCCTGCTCTAGAGAGGAGAATTATGATGAATATTTGCACACACACAATATTAAATATTTGTAATATTTTATTACATTTCATTATATTTTCACTGAACCTATTCTTCAATATTTAATGTTTGAATAAATCATGCAAACAATTTTTTATTTCAGCTATCATTTAAATGTTTGTATCTCAACATCAAATTAATATATCATTAAAAGTTTATATAAAAACTCTCTTGTGTGCAATTAAAAGGGTTATTTATTTAAATAATTAATTGATTACTAAATAAACGTTAATTTCGGTTTTCAGCTACACTTTCATTTCGGGTTTGGTTAATAAAAACTCTATGGACTCTACCTGGCAACCACCCAGAACTGCATAACGACACAAGAAAAGCCACCATAGCAACAACTTGCATCTGTGTGTTGTTGAGGTAAAAACATCTCACAGCAGCGGCAGTAGCAGACACACGTGAACAGAGGAAACTTTCTTATAGGATCAAACTGCTGGATCACAGGAGATGACCTCACACACACACACACACACACACACATGTCTGAATACTTTCCGTACCCACTGTATATATATATATATATTTCTAATTTTATTTCTCTGGTCTCTGGTGGTGTTTCCCCTGCGGGTCTCTGATCTCCTCAGACTCTCTCTCCTCGATCGTCCGGATACAGAATGACTGATGCTGATCGTCTGAAAGCATCTTCACTCGTCTCTCCAGACGCTTGATGTTTTCACTGCATCTCTGAAGCTCAGATCATGTTTGCGATGAATTCACACTGCTGGATGTTTCCGTTCTTCTGGGATTTCTCAGTCGTGCTCAGATCCGTTATATGACGTCAAACGCAGGCATTGACGGAGATCTCGTCCGATCGCTCACTCACAGAAGAGAGGAGCATTTATGATTTTATTATTCAGGATCTAGAAAGTCAAACACATTCACAGAGGTCGAGGTGTGTGATGGACCCAGTGTGTGTGTGTGCTCTTCATCTCCTCACCAATCCATCATCATCATCAGAGGCAGCATTAAAACCGACAGAATCAAACACCATCAGTCTCACTAACCACTTTCCTTTCCTTTTGGTCCGTCTTTCATCATCAGCTGCTTTATGAATATTTCCCATCATCATCATCATCAATTTATTCATTCTGTCCATCTCTTGTCTCTGAAACCCTCCAAAGGTCATTTCTGCCTGCGTGATGTTTCCATGGAGATGATGATGATGATGATGATGATGATGATGATGATGATGTTGAAGATGGTGTGTGAATGAGAGAGAAACTGCTGATAAACAGCAAATCTCACTCTTGGTAACAAACTGAGTTTAGACTTTAGTTGTGATTTGATATTATATTAGATGATACAAAACCAAATTATATGACATAGTTATATCAAACAATATGATGACATACATAAGTGTTTTTCCTTTTTCTATTTTTAATAGAATTTTTAATAGAATTAATTTTCATTTTCCTTCCGTTCTTTCTTTTTTAGTTTGGTAATTAATTGATTGAGTATTTATTTATTTATGTACTTTTTCTATTTTGATTAATGTATTTGCTTTCTTTTTCTATTTTTATTTTTATTTTTTATTTATCTTTCTATTTTTATTAATTCATCTTTCTTACTTTTTCTATTTTTATTATATGTATATATATATGAAGAGTTCAGATGCAAAAGCCTCTTAAGTGCCGTCTGAAATTTTCATCTAAAATGAGGATTTTTAGCAGGCTCCTCTGTTTAGGTTCAGTAATTTTACTCTAATGGCACTGTATACGTCCTTTTCTATACAATTAAAGTGAATAACTGAACATAAACGTAGGAGCCTGCTAAAAATCCTCATTTTAGATGACAATTTCAGACGGCACTTAGAAGCTTTTGCATCTGAACTCTTCATATATATATACATATATTAGTTTATTTGTTTTGTGTTTTTCATTATATTTGTGGTTTTAATTAAGGTTTTTTTTATTTTTCTTTCTTCTTTTTCATGTTTTTCTCTTTTTTTCCATTTTTATTTGTTTATCATTAACGTATTACAATGGCCAAATGCACAATAATATGAAACAATACAGCAAGATGCAACTCATATCATTGAGTTAGATGGTGTTTAGTCCAGCTGTGGTTTCAGAGCTGATCTGACGTGTTACCGGTCCGGCGGTCTGCCGGCGTTTCTGCGTGTGTTTGAGCATCGCTGATCCAACGCTGATAGTTCTGGTGTGTTTCTCGGGCTCTGCAGGTCGGCAGCTGACGATCTTCAACAGCCAGGCGTTCATTAAGGTGGGCGGCGGTGAGAAGGGCCGTAACTTCCAGGGTCAGATCTCGGGGCTGTACTATAACGGCCTGCAGGTGCTGAAGCTGGCGGCGGAGGGCGACCCGAACGTGCAGGTGCAGGGGAACCTGCGTCTGGTGGGAGATGTGCCCTCCGTCATGAGCACCGACACCACCTCCACCACACCCCTCGCAGACATGTCCACCACCATCATGGAGACCACCACCACCATGGCCACCACCACCACCCGCAAACAACGCTCGCCCACCATGAGAGACAGCGTCACGCAGGTCAGTGTACACTGAGTGAGTGAGTGAGTGAGTGAGTGAGTGAGTGAGTGTGTGTGTGTGTGAGTGAGTGAGTGAGTGAGTGTGTGAGGGAGTGAGTGAGTGAGTGAGTGTGTGAGGGAGTGAGTGAGTGAGTGAGTGTGTGAGGGAGTGAGTGAGTGAGTGAGTGTGTGAGGGAGTGAGTGAGTGAGTGAGTGTGTGAGGGAGTGAGTGAGTGAGTGAGTGTGTGAGGGAGTGAGTGAGTGAGTGAGTGTGTGAGGGAGTGAGTGAGTGAGTGAGTGTGTGAGGGAGTGAGTGAGTGAGTGAGTGTGTGAGGGAGTGAGTGAGTGAGTGAGTGTGTGAGGGAGTGAGTGAGTGAGTGAGTGTGTGAGGGAGTGAGTGAGTGAGTGAGTGTGTGAGGGAGTGAGTGAGTGAGTGAGTGTGTGAGGGAGTGAGTGAGTGAGTGAGTGTGTGAGGGAGTGAGTGAGTGAGTGAGTGTGTGAGGGAGTGAGTGAGTGAGTGAGTGTGTGAGGGAGTGAGTGAGTGAGTGAGTGTGTGAGGGAGTGAGTGAGTGAGTGAGTGTGTGAGGGAGTGAGTGAGTGAGTGAGTGTGTGTGTGTGAGTGTGTGTGTGTGTGTGTGTGCCCCATACTGCAGTAACACACAGTGAGTGTACACACACTTGTGCAAAAGTCAAAAGATACAGTGTGTGAGAAAAACGTTATTTTCTGTTTGATAAGACCTTGTTTTTAATGAATCAGTATTAGTTACTGTGATGATCAACAGCAGAGACTGTAGGGCTGCGTTGATTTGCTGTTTTTGTTTGCAGGCTGCACATTTCGGCCCCAATTTTGTGATTATATCACAATGTAGGCATGTATCAGTATGTCTATGAAATAATAATAATATATTATATTATTGCTATTATGAAATAAAATATTCAATATTTAAGAAATATATTTAAGAAAAATAACATTTTATTTTGCAACCATTTTTATTTTTATTACAAATTTCCTAATAAATTAGTCTTAATTTCCTTATTATCAAATGTTAAAACATTTACAGCTGCACGGCTTGGGGAAAAATCTAAATGTATTTTTTTCTGATAAAAATTGTTTATAATATGATTTTATTTTTTTAATCTAGATTATTTTGTTCTTGTTGCACATAATTTTGTGATTATGTATCAATATGACTATAAAATAATAACTATGATGATGATGATTAATACAAAATAAAACTTTACAAATTGCTAGATAAAACAAAATAAGAAATGTTACTATTTTAATATTTCTCTGTTCAATAATCAAGTAGTTAAGAAAAATAATATAAACATTTTATTTTATATTATTACATTACTAATATTTATGTTAATATTTTATTTTGACAGGAAACTGCAGGAGCCCCAAAAGCTTCTCTTCTTCCCTCTGAAACACGCAGCATATATATTTATTTAATTAAATCACTGCCTTTGGCTTTTATAATTGCACTAAGCCATATCACAGTTTTGGTTTATTGTGATAAATCGCTCAGTCTAGCAGAGAGTTCATTATATTTCACCTGTGTCTTGATGGTGGTTTGATTCACTGACTGTTGTAGATATGCAACAGAATTTGCTTCATTCTGCAGATCTTTAGCCGCTGCGCTCCTCCAGTGGAGTCAGTTTCCAAAGCTTTGTAACAGTATGCACGTGTGGCTTAAATGAAGCTGTCGTGACGTGACAGGCCTACAGTCAGCTCTGTGTTTGCTTACAGTCTCAAAATAACCCTCAGAAATGTCAAACGTACAGCAGTGACCCGCAGCCTTCTGAAATGTTCTCATGAGCCGTGTGACTGTGTACTGGATCCTCTAACTCATCCCGAGCTTCAGAGGAAACACACCAGCGTTTGCCTGCGGTTATTAGCTTTCCTCTTCCTGTACCGAGAGCGCATTCGAATCCAGCTCAATAGCTCACAAACAGGCAGAAGAGACATTCAAACCAGCGGCCCATTAATATCTGAAAAATAAAAGCCTTTTCCACTGGGAATGGTTTCCGCGTCTGTGGCGTTAATGCATTGGCTGGGCAGAGGACGAATTAAACGGATCCGTACGACTGCATTGTCATGTTGGGTTACAGAAACACGTGAAGCTGAAATGTGATTTCCATCCGCGGTGCTCCAAATGTTGTAGTCTCTGATAAATATCACTTTATGAAATAAATAAGTGAAGAAACACTCCAGGCTTCAGTACAATAGTCTGCAGCTTTTCAGAACTAATTAAAAGAAAACAGGATTGTGTCCTGCGGCCGGTTCAGAGTGAGCGAGCGTCAAATAAATCTGCTGAGAATGAGTTCCTCGTCCAGTTCACAGTGAAACGACTGATCAGTGAACTACTCATTCTGTTCAGACACTTATATATATATATATACAGTGGGTACGGAAAGTATTCAGACCCCCTTAAATTTTTCACTCTTTGTTATATTGCAGCCATTTGCTAAAATCATTTAAGTTAATTTTTTTTCCTCATTAATGTACACACAGCATATATAAAATCTTTTTTTTTCTTCTTTTTTTTCTCATAATAATAGCATTTTGGAAGAGTTTTTATTCCTAGTTGTTTGAATAACAGTCACAGCTGACTGTGTGTTTTCCTCAGAGAGACTCATTTTCTCAATACGCTCAGATGCTTAAATGAACTTGGCATGTCGTGAGAAACAGATGAGAATGATTTCAGATGCTGTGTCTGGCAGCTTTGGCTCAGAGATGATGGTCTCCAGTGTACTGTGTTATACAGCGCTTTATACAATACAGATTGTGTCAAAGCAGCTTTACAGAGTCAAACAGGAAAAACGTGTGCTGGTAATGCAAGAGGACAATAGAAAACAGTCAGTTTATCAGTTAAAGTTGTTGATTCAGGGATGTCATCGTCCAGCTCAGTTCAGTTCTCCTCCAATAGTGTTTGTGCAATCAAGTCTACAATTTTGCCAGAAACTAAGCATCCCCAACTAAGCAAGCCAAAGGCGACAGCGGCAATGAACCAAAACTCCATTGGTGACAGAAATGGAGAAAAAGCCTTGGGAGAAACCAGGCTCAGTCAGGGGGCCAGTTCTCCTCTGACCAGACCAAACCAGCATGATGTGGGTTAATTCCAGGCTGCAGCACAGGTCAGATTGAGCAGAGGAATCGTCTGATTTCTGTGGTCTTGTGTCGATGGTTGTCGAGGTGACGAGGTCTTCGCAGGGGATCTGTCTTGTCCCTTGACATGGTCTCCGCTGACATCCAGGGCTGTGTTCAGATATGACAGTATATTTACACATGGACACCTAAATAAATGGACTGAAAACAGTGATTCTCAGAGCTTCAGTCAGCGTGTGTGTGAGGGATCATCATATGACAGCTGTCTGTGTGAATGTGGATGGTGTTTGATGTATTCTTACGAACTGATGAATTGTTTTGAAGAAGGACACTGTACTGACTCTCTGTGTATCTGTCTGTCTGTCTGTCTGTCTGCAGAATACTGACGATCTGTTAGTAGCGTCAGCAGAATGTCCGAGTGATGATGAAGATCTCGAGGAGTGTGAGCCTGGAAACGGTGAGTCAGTCTTACTGTCTATGTGTGTTTTTACGTGCTGTAAACCACACACACACTCACAAAATCCCATCCCATGTGCAGCTGTGATTGGACAAAATATGCCTCAATTCAAGTTGACAGTCACAGATTGAACCTAAATTAAGTTATTGATGAATGTCTATTGTACCATAAAATATGTATTTGATCATTTTCAGCTCTGATAGTAGTGTTCAATGTTTCTGTCTGATGAATGCATATAAATTAAGGAAACTAAGTGAGATGATTTACTTGAATTCCCATCATGCCGTTGTTAAACTCAAACTCCTTTCAATGTATATTCTGACAATGAGTTGTACTATCTTACACAGTTTGCGTCTGAAGTAAGTGTGTGTAGTGTTAGGGACAGGGCTGGACTGGTAATCGGGCATACTGGGCATTTTCCCGGTGGGCCGATGCACTTAAGGGGCCGACAGAATGTTGTTGTTGTTTTTTTGCCAAGGACCATCACACAGGGACAGCGAGCAGCCAGTGGCCCATTGGACTGTCTCCTGTGTTGACAGCGTAAACCACCCAATCACAATGCTCCGCCTATATAAAGATCGCTTCACTCCAACGTCTTCCTCGTCGGCTTCTCCAGGTTTTCACAGCAGCTTTATCAGGAACAGGCTTGCTCTGCGGTGAGTGATGCGGGCCAAAGAGCCAGAGAGGAGGAGGAGAAGAGAGTAGTTCAATCTGTAAAGTGCTTGATAGGGACTCGCAGCGGAGGCAGGCATCTAAACTATCCTAATGTGTGCGCGCCATGAGTGTAGAATACGAAAACACTTTTTAATAAAACGTTAATTCCTCCCCCGTGGTTTTTTTGGCCAAGTCAAGCCAAGTGTGTTCATAGAGGTTTCCGTGAGCCAATGCGAATAATTCTAGATTTAAATGAAAAAAGACACGATATTGTCAGACCTGACGTTTTATTCTTATCCAGAACAACTAGATGCAATGATACATACATACACTACCAGTTAAAACATTTTGAACAGTAAGATCTTTAATGTGTTTTAAAGAAGTCTCTTCTGCTCACCAAGCCTGCATTTATTTGATCCAACGTACAGCAAAAGCAGTAATATTGTGAAATCATATTACAGTGTAAAACAGCTGTGTTCTCTGTGAATCTCTGTTAAACTGTAATGTATTTCTGTGATGCGCAGCTGTATTTTCAGCATCATTCCTCCAGTCTTCAGTGTCACATGATCTTCAGAAATCAGTATAATATGCTGATCTGCTGCTCGAGAAACATTTCTGATTATTATTATTGGGGGGGTAAAGAAATTATAGAAATTAATAATTTTAGCAAGGATGCTTTAAATTGATCAGAAATGATGATAAAGACATTTATAATGTTACAAAATATTTCTATTTCAGATAAATGCTGTTCTTCTGAAATTTTTATTCATCAAAGAAACCTGAAAATTTTTTACTCAACTGTTTTCAACATTGATAATAATCAGAAATGTTTCTCGAGCAGCAGATCAGCATATTATACTGATTTCTGAAGATCATGTGACACTGAAGACTGGAGGAATGATGCTGAAAATACAGCTGCGCATCACAGAAATACATTACAGTTTAACAGATATTTACATAGAAAACAGTTATTTTAAATAGTAAAAATATTTCACAATATTACTGTTTTTGCTGTATTTTGGATCAAATAAATGCAGGCTTGGTGAGCAGAAGAGAATTCTTTAAAAAACATTAAAGATCTTACTGTTCAAAAACGTTTGACTGGTAGTGTATATCATATATATATAGTGGTGGTGGGCCGACTGGGATTTTTTGTCCCAGTCCAGCCCTGGTTAGGGATGTTAGCTGATTGTGAATGGATCTGTTGTCTCTGTCTGTATAAAACGTGACGTGACATGTGGCCAAATATGGTGACCCATACTTGGAATCAGTGCTCTGCATGTAACCCATCCAAAGTGCACACACACAGCAGTGAATACACACACAGCGTGAACACACACCCGGAGCAGTGGACAGCCATTTATGCTGCGGTGCCCGGGGAGCAGTTGGGGGTTCAGTCCCTTGCTCAAGGGCATCTCAGTCATGGTACTGAAGGTGGGAGAGAGCACTGTATATTCACTCCCCCCACCTACAATCCCTGCCGGTTCGAGACTCGAACCCGCAACCTTTGGGTTACGAGTCCGACTCGCTAACCATTAGGCCACGACTTCCCACATTTGGGCTGATGTCTTCTATCAGCTAATATTGATGAGGTTTAGCCATGTACTGGAGCAGTTATTGAGATAACGAGGTGGTTTTATCATCAGGTCAGTGTGTTTGTGGTCAGATCTCATGACACATCTGTCTGTCTGTCTGTCTCTATCTATCTATCTGTCTATCTATGTATCTATCTGTCTTCAGTCTGACTCTATCTATCTATCTATCTATCTATCTATCTATCTATCTATCTATCTATCTATCTATCTATCTATCTATTTATCCACACTAGCAACGTCATAGTTGCCAGAATTCAGCTATCCACTGCCTAGCAACCATTTATAACACCTTAGCAACAGGCCAGCATGTGCCTAGCAACCACCAAGAATGCTTCAGGAACTGCTTAGCAACCACTCAGAACACCCTGGCAACCTCCAGGGCACACCATAGCAACCATCTGAGGGTGGGCAGCAGTTCATCTGTGTTTTTGAGAGCAAATATTTCTGTTGCACACTGGAGCAGACAAAAGGACAAAGAGGGCAAACAAACTGTGTGACTCACCGTCAAATGCAAGACAACAAAATTAACGAAAACAAGAAAGATGAAGGTACAAATCAAAAACACAGAGAGATAAAGAGAGAGAGAGAGAAAGAGAGAGAGGGAGTCTCTGACTGGCATTGGAATGTTCCTCACGTTAGCTGGTATCGTGGGAGAGACGGACAAGGCACAGACGAGGCAGAGAGAGGGACGGATGGATGGACGGACGGATGGAAATCTCCGCATTGCGTTTCTGCTCCAGGGTCCCAAAGAAACGTCTCATGAATGTCCCTCACCTCCGCTGATCCCGATGGGCTAATTAATCTCTGCCCTCGTTAGATGCTCCTAATTACATTATTCACTGGACTCTGCCGACCATTCTCTAGTTTATAATGAGCTGAAACTGCAATCGCACAACAGTCTGACTGTTACACACAAACGCACAACAGTCTGACCCACAAACGCACAACAGTCTGACCGTTACACACAAACACACAACAGTCTAACCATTACACACAAAAGCACAACAGTCTGACCATTACACACAAATGCACAACAGTCTGACCTTTACACAATAGCACAACAGTCTGACCATTACACACAAACGCACAATAGTCTGACCATTACACAAAAACGCACACAACAGTGTGACGTTACACAATCGCACAATAGTCTGACCATTACACAAAAACGCACACAACAGTGTGACGTTACACAATCGCACAACAGTCTGACCATTACACAAAAACGTACAACAGTGTGATGTTACACAATCGCACAACAGTCTGACCATTACACACAAACGCACAACAGTCTGAGCGTTACACACAAACGCACGACAGTCTGAGCGTTACACACAAACGCACGACAGTCTGACTGTTACACACAAATGCACAACAGTCTGAGCGTTACACACAAACGCACAACAGTCTGACTGTTACACACAAACGCACAACAGTCTGACCGTTACACACAAACACACAACAGTCTGACCATTACACACAAACGCACAACAGTCTGACCGTTACACACAAACACACAACAGTCTGACCATTACACACAAACGCACAACAGTCTGACC